AGATTACGATATCCAGCCAAGGGAGAGATAAGCATAGAAATGGAGAGGTCTAGTACAACCTCTATGGAAAATAGTATGGAGATTTCTCAAAGACCTAAAGTACATCTACCATTCGATCCAGCAGTCCCACTACTGGGTATCTACCCAAGGGAAAATAAGTCATATATCAAAAAGACACCTACATGTGTATGTTTATCGCAACGTAACTCACAATTGCAAAGATAGGGAACCAATCTAAGTGTTCATAAAACAATGAGTGGGTAAAGAAACTGTCATATATATACACACACACACATATACACACACACACACACGCACACATACATATATACACACACACCATGGAATACTACTTAGCCATAAAAAAGAATGAAATAATGTATTTTGCAGCAACTTGGATGGAACAAGTGGCGATTATTCTAAGTGAAGTAACTCAGGAGTGGAAAACTGAATACCATATGTTCTCACTTACAAGTGGGAGCTAAGCTATGGGTACAAAAAGGGTGCTATAATGGACACTGGAGACTCAGAATGGGAGAGTGGGAGGGATGTGAGGGCTAAAAAACAACATATTGGTACAATGTACATGACTTGGGTGACCATGCACTAAAATCTTAGACTTCACCACTATACAATTCATCCATGTAACCAAAACCCACTTGTACTCCTAAAGCTATTGAAAAAAAGAGAAAAGAAATGCAGAGGCCATATTAAAAGAACCAGAGATTAAAATCATTTAAAAATAGAAGAACATGTAAAAAACATTAATCATTCAAAAATAACATAACTAACAACAGGCAAATGAGGATGGGGGGGTAGGGAAAAGTTTAAGTATGCCTATCTCCCACATTTAGTAATAAAGACTCAACAGACTTAGTAACAAATGATTTCAGTTTCTTAATTTTTTTTGTAATCTTTCATTCATTACTTTTAAATTTAGAGGTATCAATTAGGATCTAGTATTTCCTATGAAGAAGCATTAATTGGAAATTCACTAAGTCCTTGATGCCACATAAATTTCTAATTATTTTGTTGAATGAAAATAAAATACTTTTTATTTTAAAAAGTATACTTCTAAAACTGGTAAGGCTAAACTATGGTGCTTAAGTTCACACACATGAATGATAAAACTATAAAGAGAAAAACACAGGAAGTTATCAATATAAAAGTGAGGATAATGGTTACATACAGGAGAGAGAGGGGTTGGTTGTGATTGGTAAAGAGGTTTCTGGATGGCTGGTTTAGCCTAGGAAGTGTTCACCTTATAATAATTCATTAAGCTACATGTTTCATTTACGGTTTAAGTTTTACTTTATAATAAAAAGATATTTTTAAAAAGCATGTATCTTAAAATTCCATTTATGCCTCTCCATTTATCCTCCTATAACATAAAATGCACAGATAAATGTATGGACTACTGTTCACTGTATAGTAACAACCAGAGTATCTATCTGGGTGATGAAATTTGGATATACTGTGTTGTCTACTTTGCTTCATTATCATCTTTCTTCATTGTTTGACTTTCTTAACATTTATGTTTTATTGTTAAATATTTCAGGCATACAAAAAAGCATACAGAATAATGTTATGAACACTAACCACCAAACTTTAAGAAATACAACATTAAATAAAGTGAAGTTTCCTTGTCCTCTCCTTTGCTAGTCTCATTTCCCTTGCTCTCTCATCAGATGTAATGGTATTGGGTTTTGTAGTTTGTTTTTAAGAGATAGAGTCTTGCTATGTTGCTCAGGCTGGATTCAAACTCCTGGGCTCAAGTGATCCTTCCGCCTCAGCATCCCAAGTAGCTGGGATTACAGGCATGTGCCACCATGCTCAGCATTGGTATCTTAAAATTGTTGATCATTGTTCCAATGCACGTATTTATACTGTTAGTACATATGTGCACATGCAAAAACAATTTAATATAGTCTGTCATGTTCTTAGGCTTTAAATCGGTATAATGCTGTATATATGTTTCTGTAACTTTTTCATGTACTGTTTTTGACCATTATCTATATCGGGAAATTTGTTAATTTAAACGCTGTGTATTAATCCCCTTAATAAACTAGTTTATCCATTGCTTGTACTTTTTCACTATTTGTAAACAATGAGGTAACTAAAATTCTTTTTTTTTTTTTTTTTTTTGAGACGGAGTCTTGCTCTGTTGCCCAGGCTTGAGTGCAGTGGCACTATCTCGGCTCACTGCAACCTCTGCCTCCTGGGTTCAAGCGATTCTCCTGCTTCAGCCTCCTGAGTAGCTGGGATTACAGGCATGTGCCACCATGCCCAGCTAATTTTTCTGTATTTTTAGTAGAGAGGGGGTTTTACCATGTTGGCCAGGCTGGTCTCAAACTCTTGACCTCAAGTTGATCCACCCACTTTGGCCTCCCAAAGTGCTGGGATTACAGGCATGAGCCACCATGCCAGCCAGGTAACAAAAATTCTTATATATACATGCCAGAGTTTCCCGCAGTATATTCTTAGAAAGTATAATATAAGGTGAACACATTTTCCACCTTAGAGATAAAATTGAGTAAAGTGGATTTTATTCTCCTTGCATAGTTTACAACAGTTTCTGCTCTTGTCCAGAACTTAGTTCTTATATTTTGCCAATCTGATGATTAATTTGTATTTCCTTAATAACTGTTTCATCCTGCAAAAAGAGGCTGAGCATCTTCTCACATGTTTATTGAATGTGTTCTTCTGTGACCTGCCTATTCATATTCTTGATCCATTTTTTTTTCTCTTGGGTTGTTTACCTTTTTTCTTATTGAGTTACAGGCTTTTTATTTTTTATCTTTAAAATTGTATTATTTATATTCACGTGTGTGTGTGTGTATTTTTTTTCTCTTCTTAGGAAGTCTCAGATTGAAAATGAGATCATGCACCATCACACTCATGAATGCCACTGTCAATTTCCTGTGTAGTGGTTCTGTTAGATCCTCATCAGCTGTGAGCCATTCACTCTCAGAAACATACACTGACAGAATCCTATTATGTATTTTTAAAATTTTGAAATAATCTTACATTTATAAAAAATTTGTAAGTATTGTAAAAAAAATTTTTCCCTGAACAACTTGTAAGTTACTGACACAACGCCCATCATTCTTGAATATTTTAATGTGTATTTCCAACAAACAAGGATATTCTCCTACATAACTTCAATATAAACAAGATCAGGAAACTAACATTAATACTGTCTATAAAACATTTTAAAATATAAAATAATTGTGATTACTCTTTTAAAGAAAATAATAAAGAACTGATGCTTAAGGTTTCTGTGTTAAATCATGGTATCCACTTGTCAATGCATAGTAATAAGGCAGCTTTAAAACTCTTTATTCTCTCAACAAAACAGGCATACATTAGGATTGACAGCATGTGAATAACTGCTTTCATTTTTTTCCCCATTCTTGACAACACAAGGGGGAATGAGATTAAACTGCTCCTGGAAATTTAAACATTATATCAAACTTTCTGAGAATAACTGCTGGGAAAAGCTAAGAGTAAAATCTCCTTTGGCAAGTTATTTTCAAAGATATCCTTCCAGAAAAGTTTCAATACAAACCGATTCAGAGGCTAGGGCTAACCTTTAAAAATCTCTTTAAGACCTAAGATTCTTTTATCTCTTTTTGTTTAGTACAACTTAAAAGTTATATATATTCAGTATTAAGGTCACGTATATATAGCAAATATAAAAATAATAATAGGCCAGGCATGGTGGCTCATGCCTGTAATCCCAATACTTTGGGAGGCCAAGGAAGGAGGACTGCTTGAGGCCAGGAGTTCAAGACCAACTGGGGCAATACAGCAAAACTCCATCTATATTTTTTTAATAAAAAATTAAAAATCTAAAAAAAAAAAAATTAATAAATAGCCACTGTTTTTTACTATTAACTATGGATCCAGAACTCTTATTAATTCAATATGAGTTATTCCATCAACCCTGTGATAGATCAGAGTGCCTTCAACAGAAAAATGGAAGGAGAAAAACCAGAAACATTAACTATAGATAACATTTTGGGGAATTTTCCTGAAGACTGAAGAAATAAAATGCAGGTAGTAGAGCTGAAGAAATACATTAAGATATATTTATTTAATTGATTTTAAGCAAAAGGAGATACAATAACACAACTGTATGTGAAAGGAAAGAGATGCAAAGAAAGAAATATTGTCAATCTGATGGAAAGAAGGCATCTGCTAAAGCAATACCTTGCAGTGATGAGATCTAATACAACTGCAAGTGCTTGGTCTTTACTGAGAGAAAGCATAGTTCATTCCTACCAACAGGAACGAAGAATGAATATAAGGGGAGAAACGGAGACACGGAGTAGCAGCAAGTAAGAGAGGGTGGATATAATCTGTGGTCTTTTCTATCTTCTTTTATGGAGAAGGGTATGTATATGTAAGTATCACCAGCTATGTCAGCTACGTCTTGGTAGGAAAAGGTTTACAGACTCCTAATGAAGCGCTACTCCTCTCTACCGTGAATTTACCATCCTTTAACAGTTTTCTTTAGACTTTAATATAGTTGTAATGTTCCCAAGCATTTTATCAGTTTCTATCTCCACAGTTAGTCATTATTTTTCCTGGGTACCAGAATTATCATAAAGAAAAGTCCAGAAAGCTAAAGTAGAGATGGCATTCCTTAAAAAACATTTTCTGTCTCAATAAGAAGTACATGGAAGGATAAGGATTTTAGAAGAAAAATGTGTTCCTTGCCTTTTTTTTTTTTTTTGCATCTGTTTCCTCTCAACTAAATGATGCTACAGTTTATAGATCTTTATCTAGAAGTTCTGAATATACCAATTGGCCAGTTCAAATCACTGATTAGACAAAAACGATATAAATAAATTCTGAAACATAATTTCTTCTCTCATTTTCTGTCTACTAAAAAATGAGTCATTAGATTGCTTTGAAACATGAGTGTTTCACATACTTTTCAAAGGACTTCTCAGTTATAAATAAATAAAGAAGCTAAATATAAACCACATCCATACCTCTCACAGCTGACTGGGAAGGCTGAGTCAAAACTTTTATGTCTAATGCACTGTTGATATTTTCTTCTAAAGTAGCACAATATCCATCCACAACACTGGTAATAGTATCCTTCAGAGTTCCAAGATTATAGAAAACCTGAAGAGCTGTTCCGACTTGAGTTGGATTCTTAAAAAAGGTGGGGTGGGGTGGAAACAGATATAAATAGGAAAACAAACAAAATCAATACATATATACAATTTTAAGTGGTACTTGAGCAGTCCTATCATATTTAAATACTACCATGTTTTAAAATTATCAAAGACAAGAAAAAACACAATTTGAAGTGAAGATTATTTTTAATCTTTATTTATTTCACAAAAAACAAAGTTAAATACGATGTATACTATTTTCCCCCTTACCATTTTTGTCCTCCTTTAAAAATTAAAAAGAAGTTTGAAAGTCTGTTGTATAATATTCAAGCTTATTTAAAATCTACCACCAATCCCTATAAAAACCATACTAGAAATAACATTTGTTATTTCTACATGTGTTTAAACAATAAGTGAATTCTGTGGAGTTGACTGAGAGCTTAACCATGCAGACTTATTCATTATATTTCATTGATCCATTCAATCATTCTAACTACAAATATTTACACAGTGCCTACTGTGTATCTGAAATAGCTCTGAGTGCTGGAAAAACAGTAGTGAAACAAAACCAATTAAGTTCCTGTCTTCATGGAACTTATATTTATTGAAAAATGTACAAAACATAAATAAAACAGAATAATAGGTAGATTTGGCTTAAAGAAAGTAACAGGAAACATGGCTGGAAAATAACAATACTCATTTGAGGTTTTTTTTTTAATTAAACAAGAAAAAGAACCAAATGGATATTATTTCAAATTAAAATGTTCTAATAAAAAAGCTTAATTTAATATGGTCATAATAGAACTTAATTCTATGGTGTAAATTCTCTTTTAATGTATGCCAACAAAAAAAATAAGCTATTTCATAAAAAATTATTAACTGAAAACAATGGGCATAGCATTTGCTTTTACTGTTATTTCCATTTTTTTCCCTTTCTCTCAAGACTGTTTTATCTTTAAACTTTTTAGTAGAGACCAAAAATCAAAATGAGGCAGCTGTAAAGAAATTTCCCATGTCATTATTTAAGTGTATGTATATCCAAGAAAGCACTGCTAGAGCAATATCAAAGAATACTTTCACCTCATAAAACTAGAATACAGATATACTTTAAAACTATATTTATTGCCTTTACTATTATCAGAGGATCTGAAAAGCATAGCTTCTCCACACACAGTACAGTTTCAGTGTTATCAGCTGAATGTACATTGTAAGACGCATACAACAACTAAAAAACACTTAAATTTTTCACTTAAAACACCCAGCTAAAATAAACCACTCTTCAAAATTCTCCACTCCAAAAATTACTAACCTCCAACTTCTGAAAATATGTGTGAAAAGGTTACTTCTAAAAACTATTGGTGTTATTTTAATGTAATAGTGTATTATATTACATATATAGCTCATCATTAAAGAAGTATATATTATAGCACTATTTATAATACTTACAATTTATAATATTTATAATAATTCTAGAAGTAATTTTAAAGTTGTCAATTAACATGATCACTTTTTCAATTAATGGCACTCATATTTATAACTTAATACATAGATTATGCTAGTTACAAAACTGCAATTATCTGAACTAAAATTCTTTAAGTAACATACATACAGACGAGTCTGCTAATTATGTAAGCACAGCTTTATTATCACAAAGTGAACACATTATCACCTAGATCATGAAGCTAAATATTATCAGCACCTTTGGATCTTGTGTAGCTCCCCAAACTGCACTGTTCCAAATATTATCCTTATCATTACTTCTAACACCAAAAATTTATTTTGTTTTTGAATTTCAAATAAGTGGAATTATACAGTATGTATTATCTTGTGGCTCGTCCTTATCTTGTGGCTTGTCCCTTTTACTCAACACATTTTTTGTGAAATTTGTCCATGTGGTTGGATGCAGCAGTAGTTGATTCATTTCTTACTGCTGTGCAGTATTCCACTGTAGTAATTTGCTTTAGTTTATCCATCCTACTGTTGATAAATAATTGGCTTACTTCTATTTTTAGGTATTTTAACGTATGCTGCCATGAACATTCTGTACACCTCTATTAGTGAACATATATACATATGCATTTTTGCAGGCAAGAGTAGAATTGCTAAATCATATTAGTATACTTAGAGTTTGTAGATACTGCCAATTTTACAAAGCCATTGCAGCAATTTACACTCCCACCAGCGATATATGAAAATTGTGGATGCCCCACAAATTTGCCAAAAATTCAAATGATCATTCCTTTAATTTTGGCTATTATTTGGAGTGAGTACTATCATTTTAATTTGTATTTCTATGATGACTAAAAAACTTAATACTTCTTACATGGTAATTATCCATTTGGATATCTTCTTTTGTGAAGAGCTTATTCATATCTTTTGCCCATTTTTTTAACTAGTTGTTTTTTGTCATTTACATATAAAGTTGTTGATATATTTTGGATATAACCACTTTGATAATTATATGCACTGCAAATATGTTCTCCCATTCTTAATGAAGTATTTTAAGGAAGACAAATTCCTAATTTGAATATAGCCCATTTTATCAATCTTGATCTCTACGGTTTAGCACTTTTGGTATTGTTTGAAAAGTGGTCCCCACCCCACATTCATAAAGATATCTTTCACTCATAAAGTTATTCTCCTGAAACTCTACTGGTTTATCTTTCATGCTCAGAAATACAATCCGCCTGGAATTAATTTCTATATAATGTGAAATAGGAGTCAAGATTAGTGTTTTTCCACATGAATACCCAATTGATCAAAAAAAGAGCAAATAAAAATAACCTGCACTCCCCAAAAGCCACCTTTGCAATAAACCAAGTTTCTAAATACGTGTGTGAGTTTCTGGACTTACAAATCTCTACCATTTCTCTATCCTTACAATTCACCTATCTAAATTATTGTAGCTTTAAATATCAGATTTGGCAATCCTCTGCCTCTGTTCTTCAATTTGATATAGGCTCTTCTTGATATATGACACTTCCATATAAATTTCAAAATTGGCTTGACAAATGTCCTTTTTTAAAAAAAGTCTGCAGGTATTGTCTGATATTGCATTAACTCTATAGATAGAAATAACAGATATCTTTGTAACATTGAGCTACTCTCAATACCATGAATATGGTATCTCTTTTCATTTACTTAGGTCTTTAACTTCTCTTAATGTTTTATAGATAGATAGTGTTCTGTGAAAACGTCTTATATATCTTTAGTTTAAATTATTTACATTATTTTTTATATAATTGGTATGTTTTTAAATTTTTTGTAAACAATCTGTAAATTGTTTTGATTTTTCTATCTATATAACCAAGGTATTTCTGAATAATTTTTATTTCTCCCTTCCCATTCTCCTCTATCTCATCGCTTTTCTTATTACTTTGGCTAAGATCTGCAGTATTGCACTGAGTAGAAGTAGTAAGACTGGTATTTTTGCATGATCCCTAATATCAAATGGAAAGCCTTGAATATTTCACCATCAAGATTTTTAGAAATGCCCTTTATCAGATTAAAGACACTGGCTTGCTAAGAGTATTCTTATTCATGAATTGATTTTGAATGTTATTAACTATGTATTGAGATAATAACTTTCCTCCTTTACTGGAGAAATTATATTTCTGGAATAAAGCCATCTTGGTCATAATACACTATCAGTTTTAGATCTCTGTGGCTTATATTTACTAACTCTTTGCTTAGTATTTTTGTAGAGATTTTAAAGGAAGACAGCTAGTAATTTTACTTCCTTACAATATTCTCATTTTGATATTAACGTTATCCTGGCCTCATAATATGAGCAAGTAAATACGTTTGGTCCCTCTTTCTTAATTCTTGGATACAGTTGATGTAACATTGGTTTATTTATTCCTTAAATGTTTGGAAGAATCGCCCCAGTGAAGCCGTCTGGCTTTGGAGTTTTCTCCAAGGAAAGGTTTAATCATAAATTCAATTTTGTTAATAGACAAAGAACTAGATAGATTTTATAATTTTCCTGGTGTTATTTTTGATAAGTCATTTTCCAGAAATTTGTCAATTTCATCTAAATTTTCAAATCAATTAGTATAAACTCATACTTTTGTCTTAACATCTTTTTAGTTTTTATTGGGTCTGTCATTAGATCACCTTTTTCATTCTTGATAGTGGTAATTTGTACCTCTTTTTTCCCGTCTCCTCATCAGTCTTCTTGGTACTTATCAATTTAATTTGTTAATCTTGTTAAGTAACTAAATTTTGGCTTCTACTGGATTCTGTATTGCATTACCAGTTTTTTGTTATTCTTATTTCACAGACTTTGGAGCCAGACCTAAATCAGGATCCAAACTCTACCACTTAGCAGTCAAACACAACAAAAAAAGAAAATGTCAGGCCAATATCCCTGATGAACATCGATGTGAAAATCCTCAACAAAATACTGGCAAACCGAATCCAGCAGCACATGAAAAAGCTTATCCACCATGATCAAGTTGGCTTCATTCCTGGGACATAAGGCTGGTTCCACATACATAAATCAATAAACGTAATCCATCACATAAATAGAACCAATGACAAAAACCACGTTATCTCAATAGACGCAGAAAAGGCCTTCAACAAAATTAAATACCCCTTCATGCTAAAAATACTCAATAAATTAGGTACTTATGAAACATCTCAAAATAATAAGAGCTATTTATGACAAACCCACAGACAGCCAATTATCATGGCAAAAGCTGAAAACATTCCCCTTGAAAATCAGCACAAGACAAGGATGCCCTCTCTCATCACTCCTATTCAACATAGTATTGGAAGTTCTGGCCAGGGCAATCAGGCAAGAGAAAGAAGTAACAGGTATTCAAATAGGAAGAGAGGAAGTCAAATTGTCTCTGTTTGTAGATGACATGATTATGTATTTAGAAAACCCCATCGTCTCAGCCCCAAATCTCCTTAAGCTGATAAGCAACTTCATCAGTCTCAGGATACAAAATCTACGTGCAAAAATCACAAGCATTCCTATACACCAATAATAGAGAGCCAAATCATGAATGAACTCCCATTCACAATTGCTAC